GGGTTTTATCCCAAATGGATTTTTCCGGCGAGGTTTTTAACAAGGCAACAACTATGTGCTACCTACGGAAAATACAACAGTATCCAAGGCTTCTTTTCAATCAACCTCGAATACTGGGGGGCATCACCCTCGGAGATTATATTGTCGAGGAAAATACTTCACGCCAGAGGGCCTCGATAGGAAAATTTGTAAGGGCCAAATGGTCAGATGAACCGTGTTCGTATAGAATAGTCGATCCCCGATGGCAAAACATGTACGCATGTATGAATTATTCGAAGAAGCATTCTTTCTATATCTAACACTTTGTGTCTCCCTCGGGAGCAGCTTCCTCTTTGGGCCCAACTTCATTATCAGACCCGCCTTGGCTGCCTTCATCATCATCATCGTCGGAGGAGGAGACGAGAAACTTGGAATCGGCTTCGAGCTCTTTTTCTTGAGCTATCTCCTCGGTGAGGTCGAAATCTCAAGCATGGATCTCTTCGAGGGTCTCCTTCCGGGATTGACACTTGGCCAAATCATTGCTCTGTTTCTCCCAGTCAGAGGCTTCCCTTATCTCCATTTGAGCAGCCTCAGCATCCGTTAATTACACAACAACGGTTTTATCAGTCGTGGCCTTCGTCTTCTCGACCTCGACCCTGGATTCAACAAACTCAACCCCGATTGCGGCAAGCTTGGCCTCGAGCTCATCGATCTTTTTGTCTTGGGCCGAAGTTTTCTCTTTAGCACCCCGGAGCTGGGTCTCAGCCGAGTCCAGTTTGGCTAGAGAAGCCTTTTTCTCAACAGCAAACCAGTCCATACTTTCCTTCTACCGATTGCATTCGGCCTTAACCCGATCGACATCCCCTCGAAGCTGCCCGATCATCTCTAGTTTTTGCTGCAGCTGAGACACTAAAGTGTTAGCCTACACAATTGGGTCAAGTAGACAACTCTTTCAAAATGACGGTTACCTGCTTGTCTAGCTCGGCCTCATTTTTACAAGCTTTGGCCAAGTCTGCCCGAAGGTCCTTGAGCTCCTCCTCTTTTTGGCTGCAAGAAGCTTTAGGGCCTTCCCTTCATCCGAGGACTTCTTGAGCTCGGCCTCACATTGGCTCAGCTCGGCCCTAAACCTGGTAATGGCCTACGCATAAAAAGAGATATCAGTTAGGGTAATGGGAGAAGAAGAAATTGCAATGGCAGGAGTTAATGCTTACCCGAGAGAAAAGACGGTGAGCCTCTTCGAAGAGGGTAGATGCGTCGTTGAGGTCGGCGGCATCATTGACCCCAGTAAAGCAATCTCGGAAAGGATCTTCTTCACCGGGCACTCCGCTCGGGTCAGGCGTTCGCAGAGCTTGAGCTTCCCTTATTGCCTCCTCAAAATAAGCTGGTAGAGTTGGAGAGTGACCTACTGTCATGGCCCCGAGCAAGTCGCTCGGGGCACTCTGTTCAGCCCCGGGGATCTCGGTACTTGTCCCCTTTGGTGTGCTTGTTGAAGGCGGAGGAACAATCTCGACCTCAGGCGATTCGGGGGCTTTGCCCGCATTTTTCTTTGGAGCTTCCTCACCACGAGGCAGGGTCTCCGGTTCAGAGGGCTTGGCGGCTTCAACTGGCTTCCTGGCTCGGGTTACCAGCGCCGATTTTTCGCTCTCTTCTTCTTCTTCATCATTCAGTTGATGGACTGAATCTATGTCCACGTGAATGAGGTTCCTCCTTTGCCTTTGATTAGGACCCCTCCTATCTTGGGGGTCTTCGGGTTTCGAAACCCTTTTTCTCTTATTATCTTTCCCCGATTTTGAAATCGGGGACTCGGTCTCTTCCCCGGGCAGGCCGGCCTCATTTTCGAGACATCTCCAGTACCTACATGAATGAAAATCAGGCATGAGTAAGGTGACATCTCCAGTAAAAGGGAAAGCGTCAAAAACTTGGGAGAAGGCCTTACCGTGGTGTTTGGCTTCCCATTTGCCCCTTGCCAGGTCACGCCATTTGCGCTCGTCATACGAGGAGGTCGCAGCTAATTTCCAGACCCAGTCTTCGAGGTCGGCGACCGCATGGGGCATCCAAGCAACTGCTGCAAAAAGGTGAAGGCGTCACACAATGCGAGAACAGAATATAAGAGGATACTGGGAGAAGGACTTCACTTACGATGGGGGTTCCATTTCTCTGGGAACGATATTTTTTCCTCGGGGATGACGTACGAGGTCCTCACTCACTCGAATCGGCTCATCCAGCCCCGGTCCTTATCCTCGTCATTGCTAGCAAAGAAGGCTTTGGTCGACCGGCGTTGAAGCTTGATCAACCCTCGGTAAAGTTGAGGTCGATACAGTCGGATAAGGTGATTAAGAGTAAACTCTAGCCCCTCGGCCTTGCTTGAGAAATAGCGAAGCATGATCACTATAACGCCAGAAAAAAGGGTGGATCTGGTCGAGGGTGACCTGAGACCTCTTACAGAAGTCGATCACGATTGGATCGATGGGACCCAATGTGAAGGGGTAAGTGTAAACACTCAGGAACCCCTCCACATGAGTAGTAATGCTCTCCTCGGAGTCGGGGATCTGTACCATGGCCTCGTTCCCCCATCCACAGTCCTTCTTCACGACCTTAAGGTGCTTCTCCGTTATCGAGCAAATATACCTCGATACATGATCGCATCGGCTAGGGATTGCGGGGGGGTTTTCAACTTTAAAGTCTTTCTTTATGACATAAGGACCGGGAATAATCTCGTGAAGGGCCGGCGCTTTATCACCGGCTGGCCGAGAAGAGGAGGAGGAAGCTCTCTCCTTTTGAGGAACTGTTTTAGAGGTTTTCGCCATTGATTTGGGTTGGAAGAGGCGGAAGTAGGCGGAGCTTGATATTTTTTCGGCACTAAAAGGAATCAAGTAACGGGTAATGAGAGGGAAAGATGAAGAGGGGGGGGGGGTATAAAGGGAGTTTGAAGATGGTATGAAGATTGAAGTAAAGTTTTTATTTTGAAATTGAGCCTTGTATTTATAGGCAAGCGGTGACGGTTCGACGGCGCTAATGGCCGACCACCACTGGTGAAGCTTTTAATGTTTTGGGGAAACGAACCGACGAGACGTCTCGGTCACTTCGAGCGCCTAAGTCACGGGAATGACGTCATCATCAATGACTCCGAAAAATCGAGGCTCAAGTCGTTTCTTATCGTTTTATTATAAGAAACGCGGTGACTATCTGTATACGGTCAAAATCATGTGTCCCTGATTTCGTAGGCTCGAGGGGTCGCGTCGAGAACGAGTTCAATATGGATCGGGCTCGAGCCCGATGGCAGAATACGAAACTCGAAGATCGAAGTGCTCGATGAACACTGGGGCCGAGTATGACCAACCTCGAGATAATACCGTTATGATTTTATAACAGAGAGAGCAAGATTCCCGCGGTGGTCCTGAGATCACGGCGTAAATTTCGGAACGGATTTTACTAGGCGGTTAGACAGATGTATAATAAGATTCCCTACTACAATTTTTATTGTACCTTATTTAGGATTTTCCTACTATATAAAGGGGACCCCAATCATTTGTAACGCATCATCATTCACTAAGAAGAGAATATACATTTCCACTTTCTTGCCTACTGTTCATCTGAATCAACTTATTATTATTTTATTGTTCTTGTTCATTTACCTCGAGGTCGTCATTGTTCGAGGTCGAGGTCTGCTTATATGTTGGTTTGACTTACCTTACTCTTTAATTTACACACTTGATTCCTTGCTTATCACTTAGTATTGGGTTAAATCACATATCATTAAAATCACAATACAAGTTTAATTGTTACTCGGATTTTAGGGTAAACAATAACAACAATGGTGATCCATAAGCCTTCTCATTCCAGCCTTTAGGTTGACGTAACTTAAAAGAAAATAGGAGAAAAGATAATTTAATCACGAATTTTACACCTGATATAAACTATTTGATTTATTGAATATTATAAAAACGAAAAATATGTATATTTAGATGTTTTAAAAAATAATAGTTGATAAAAGAAATATTTTATATACTTTTCAACTAGCAATACAATTAATCGAGCATAAAAAAAATATATTACCCTTAATTTTAACATGCAATTCATCTATTTTCAAGAACCGGCTCTACTCTTTTAACCGGTTTTATAGTCTGACCAAACAGGCTCTACTGAAAACGCTCACCACTTGACTGTAAGAAAATCAACGGAAAAGGATTCAAAATGCCCCTAAACTATGGGAAAAGGTTTAACAATACTCTCCATCCATCTATTGGGCTAAAAATACCCCCCATCCACCTTTTTGGTTCACTTATGCCCTTTGACCGTTAGGTCAATGCTGAATTAAAAATATTACTTAAAAAATATTTTGCAAAATATTTTTGTATTTTTAAACTAATACACAAGTAGTCCACTAATTTAGTAAAGTCTTCTTCTTTTTTTTTTTTCCACTTTTTACAAGAAGAATTTAATTTTTACAAATAAATATTTGTTTAATTTTTTTTCCAGTTTTTCAAAGTATTTTTTTTGTAAAAACAGAAAAAATAAAATATTTTCGTTTTTTAAAAAATGAAAAAAATATATTTAACAAATTATTTTCGTTTTTGAAAAATATTTTTTTTCATTTTTTCAATTTTTTTTTTTGTAAAAATTGAAAAAATATTTTTGTTTTTTAAAATTTAAAAAAAAAGTTGAAAAAATATATTTTAAAAACGAAAATATTTTTGTTAAAAACAATTTTTTCTTTCTGTTTTTACAATTTTTGTTTCAGTTTTTACAAAAAAAATACTTTAAAAAAATTGAAAAAAATGAAAAACCATATTTTTTTGTAAAAACTGAAAAAAGAAAAGAAGAAGAAGACTTTACTAATTTAGTGGACTACTGGTGCATTAGTTTAACAAATAAAAATATTTTGTAAAATATTTTTTTTAAGTAATTATTTTTAATTTAGCATTGACCCAACCGTCAAAAGGCGTGAACCAAAAAGGTGAATTGATGGCTATTTTTAACCCAACAGATGAACAAAGGTTTTAAGCCTTTTTTCAAATAGTTTAGGGCATTTTAAACCTTTTGCCGAAAATCAAATCCCTTATTACACATCCCCATACGCTGAGATCAAAGTGACAGAAAATGGACAATTCTGCGAATTGCAAGAACTACGGCGTCCCTATCTACGGTGCCGGTTGGGTTCCGTCGAGCGCCCTCAGATCTGCCGTCGAACCGCCGGCCGATGATGAAAAGGACGATGGCGACAAATCATCAGCTCCGGCGCCGGGAAACTACGTAGTCCTTGCCGGAGGAGGTGGAGAAGGGAATAGCGGTATTCGCAACGCGCTCGTTGTAGCTCAGTTCAATTTTGATTCCAATGTTCTCTTTGATGAACCTGTAAGCCATAAACTTTTCCTTCTTATGATTCAATGTCCAGAGCTTTTATGCAAATTGAATTGTTCTGTAGATATTTGGTTGTATACATTTTCAGTCATATAATACGAATCTTGTGCTCATTTTAAGTTTGGCTGGCATTAGTAGATTCCTGTTATGTATGATCTTCGAGGAACTAAAGGTATATGAATTATAGGTGATGTGGATTCCAGATGGCTTCATTTACAAGAGATCAATTGACTGAAACTGATTGAAAACTAGCTTTTTTTTTTTAAATTGAAAACTAGCTTAGTTGACTAGCTGTTTGTTTTTGTTCAGCTCTCTGGATCCAGGGGACTGATGTTTAACAATAGAACTTATGGAATCAATTAATTAACAAACTTCTTTGCAATGTCCGGATGGCTATAAACAGACATGTTAAATGTTACCACCCTGCAATTTTTTGGAGTATTTGGAAAGAAAGAAAGATCTCACATGTTCTGAGGGTGTCATTTCTCCTTTATAGACGCTCAAGGCTAGAAGTTTAATGAGTCTTTTTGTTGGATTGAGGTGAAACTGTAAAGAGTCTAGATAAATTCATGGATTCTGTTAGCGCCTTGACTTACTAGTGGTATTCACAGGTTCATTGTGCAGGAGCTACCTTTTATACTCCGCTACTGTAACCATTGGAATCCTCTGGATGCATTTTAATTTCTCACATTACTTGATTAAGAAAAACACGAATGTCTTGAACTTTTAGAACATGTATTATTTGGCTTCCTGTGTTGGTGGGAGGTAGCAGATACCCGTGGAATTAGTCGAGGTGTGCACAAGCTGGCTCGTACACCATGGTTATAAAAGAATGTATCATTATTTGGCTCAATGAGTTATTCCCTCCTGTTTAATTTATATGATACTGTTTTTATTGAGACGGTCCAAAATATTTGATACGTATCTATTTCTATCCAACTTTCACAAAAATCACAGCTTCCATGAATTCAAATCAATTAGATTATTTAAATTTAAACTTTGAGTTGATGATCTTTTTTAATTGAAACTTACTTTCAGTCATTACTTTACTATTTTCTTCAACTACCACTAGTATAGTACATGAGCCAAATTGAATATCTTAAACTTTGTGCCCGGTCAAACTGCCGGCAAAGCCTAACTCTTGCTTGCTGAAGGATGAGCAGGCTTGGAGGTTGACTATAGAAATCAGATTTGCTAATTTTCAGAGCCTCCTTCTGCTTATATCCAGATGTGCATAAACCTTGATACATTACATGTAACCTGGGAGATTACAGAAACAGATATAGCCTCACCTTTCTGGATTTGGATCACTGACTTAAAATATGTGTTTTTTGTTGAAGGTGGCAAAGGAAGGAACTGGTGGTGATCTGCCCTATAGGATGGCCATCCATCCTGGTGGAGATGGTCTGATATGTTCAATGCCAAAAAGCTGCAGGTGAAGTTTTTTTGTAAATTGTGTTAAAAGCATTTGGTACTTGTAAGAAGATGCATCTACTTGAAGGAAGGTTGTGCCACAGAATTTACTTTTGAGCTTACTTAGCTGGGTATTCATGTTAAGTATTCTCTTCTTTCTTTTCAGCCCTCCCTTTGTGACTTGTGAGTGGTGGCACGGGCTGATGCATAAAATCACCAAAGCATACACTTGCCCTTAGAAGATATAGTTAGTGGCTTATATAGATAAGGCCGAAGTCATCACTTGACATCGTTTTGATCACTTGCCGGTTGACATCATGTCTACTACTTTTTAAAATTGTTCATTTTTGCATTTTTTGAATCCACTCTCTGGTTGGTTACTCTTGCAAACATAGTCCACAGTACCACTTGCAATATTTGAAATTGGAACTTTTGCAGGTACTTTTTGCTAGCAGCTTGATTAAACATCTAATCAATGTGCTTCTTGTGCAGATGGTTTGACTGGGATATTCAGAGAGCTGATAATCTTTCACTGGGTCTAAGATCATCTGAGAGAGTACTTGAGCCATTGCAAGATGTTGGACAACAATTAGCGCTAACTTTTAATAATGAAGGTTCTTTACTTGCTGTCGGCAGTGAGGTAGATATCTTCCCTTAAAACTATTTCAGGTTGAAATGAAATTGTGATTGTTGCATGCGACTGAAGGAAAACTGTTCAACCTGAAGGCATTACTGTTATGTTCATTGTGTATTTAAAGAAGGCCAATTTTATAATATCAGGTCCTCCCATATTCTGGTAAAAGTTGGACAAAGTGTTCTTTAAAAACGCAGGCAGTAAAGCCAATCTTTGTTTATTTTACCCCGCTAAAACATTCTTCTATACCATGAGTTAGATTGGATATAAAGGAAAAGGAGGAGGTAGTTTGAGTCAGGTTTATGGCACCACTAGTTTACATCACTAATTGCCAAAAGAAAGCATCGTGGTACACATGTTCTCCCTGCATATTCAAAAGTTGCAGAAAGTGACTTCATGAAAAAAGGTTGCAGAAAGTGCTATTTTCAGTGGGTTTGTTTTCTTCTCTGAAACCCGTCCTGCCCCACAAGTTAGATATTTTTTTTTGATAAAGTAAAAAATTTCATTAAAAGAAGGGCTAACCAAAATTCTATGCATAAGAGGAGGGAGTAAAAGTCTTTAAGCCATAAATGTATCAACAGTCTTAGCTGAGAATATCTACTGGCTATGTTTTGACCCTCTTTATGGATCCTACATTTTACTTCACCTTTAGAATCCATTTGGCTTTCTCTTTTTCGGATTTTAAATCTTTATTGTAAGAAAAATGTAAGAAAACCTAACTCTTTCAGAAATAGTGAATTGCAGAAGGTAATTAGTTGCAAAGTAAAAAAAAGATAAACTTTAAACAAGTCCTTTTCCATTTTAGAATTTTCTGAGAATCTCTTAAGGAGAAGGCCTTAGATGCTAAATAGATAACTAAAGAAGGGAATAGATTTCTACCAAGAAGTATGAACTTTCATGCTAGTCTTTTCCCACCTCTCTCTCATTCTGTGCTTGCTGCTTCTTTTTGACTCTTTGTAATTCACAAAAGAACTCTGGGAATTGACAGAAGTTAATAGCCATCTTTGTGGGTGTGACCAAGTAAATACATCATGCCTTCCATGACTATCTTACTGCCAGTAATGTGTTGGCTTATGTGTGATGGATATTCAAAATCATGTTCTTCTGGCTGTAAAATGAGCCTGTAGAACAGTTATGATCATAATACTCGGTGGTTTTGAGCTGTCTGCGGCTACCGTACATCGACGGGCAGGTTAACCAGGAAATCAACCAACGATCAATCAGCTATGCTGAGATACCAAGTAGTTGGGGAGGTTAACGAGTAAAAAGTTTCAAGTTTAAACTACAAAGCAGATATACAATTTGTTCTTCTCTATTTGTCCTATTGCTCTAATTAGAAAATAGTGTTTTCTTCCTCCGTGCTTAACTTTAGCAACTTGGCTTGGTGGTGTAATCTGGGTAATACAATCATTCTGAACAGGCTGTCATCCTATCCCCAAAGGTTCCATTTGTTTTGTCAAGTTTTATTTTGGAGAATATTCGTTGTATCGAGTTTCAAATTGAGGTGTGGTTGATTGATTTTGTTAGATCAAGGAGGGAGAGGCCCGGGCCTCTTCTTCTTTCATTCAGCATCTGCTTCTTTCTTCTTGTTATCCTTTTTAAAGAGTGAAATATGGAACTGCATGAGCTTGTTTGCGCAGGTAAATCATAATTATATTGATTATTGAATTTTGGTGCAGTACAGGATGGCAAGTTGAGGGTTTTCAAGTGGCCGAGCATGGAAATTAGTCTTGATGAGGCTAATGCTCATGCTTCTGTGAAGGATCTAGACTTCAGGTTCATAGCATTTTCCAGAGCATTTACTTTAAGCACTACAAGCAATATGTTTTATGGTAGAGTAATTTCGACTCAAATGCTTTTGGTTGTATTGCAGCCCTGATGGAAAATTTCTTGTATCTGTTGGAAGCGGCCCTTGCCGTATTTGGGACGTCTCTAAATCAACATCTGTAGCTTCTTTGATGAAAGAAAATGTAAGAATATCTATGAATGGCTTTTAATTGCTGGAAGATGCTTGATGTGTTCTGTTCCTCTTTTTCTCCACCAAAAGAAAGGAAAAATATGATGCCTCTCCTTTCCAATCTAATTGACACTGAGACTACCCAAAAAGCAGACTAGGTCATTTTTATATGTTTTGTTTCTCCTGTCAATTGGTTTTATATAAACAGGTTCTCTCTTACATGTAGATTCTAATGTTTTATTTTGTTTTTTCCATAAGATAAGAGTATTTACATGTGGATTCTCAAATATTCCCGATTTGAGGAAGGTGTGTGGGCACATACCCAATCCTTTCTCATTGTTGCTATTAGTTATCTGACAAAAACGTCTTCTGTATCCAGGATGAGATTTTTGGCTATTGTAGATTCTCGCCAGTTATTGATGAGAATCAGGTTCTATACATCACCACGATGCGAGGTGGATATGCTATATTGGAATTTATCTGAATTACCTATTTTTAGATAGTGTTTGAGTTGGCATATGAAAAATTAACCCTGTTTTCTTGTGTTTGCAAAGATCAAGGTGGAAGTATTTCGAAGTGGAGTACTACTACGTGGAAGAGGATAAGATCAAAGCGTGTTGTTCGTGATCCTGTTTGTGCCTTTAATATTTCACCCAATGGAAAGCTTCTGGCAGTGTAAGACTCTTTTGTTGGTTTCTCTTCCACGAATGTATGTAAACAACTCTAGGCTATCTCATCCCACCACTTAACACTCCATATAGCTGGACATTCTTAAAGTTGGAAAGTCCATTTATATACTGTGATAAGCTTAGTGCGGACTCTCAAAGAGTTTGAGCATTTGGCTACAAAAGCCAGCTATTTACTGTTTAATAAATTTGATAATATGGTCCTCATAAAAATAAATTTATCAATCGAAGTGGAGAAAAGCAGCTAGTTGATTAGTCCCAAAGGCAATGGTGGAGACGTTGGCGCATAGGAATAGCATACCTTGAGATTCCAGGTTTGAAGCTTAGCTATAACATTACTGTGGGTCCACCTGCTATAACCTTGGTGGGCAGTTACCCGACCACCTGTGCTTGTGGGTTGTAAGAGACTGAGTGGTAGATTAGTTGAGGTGTGCACAAATTAGCCTGGACCAACAACAGTAAAAAAATAAGTGGCTGATTGACTTTGTGGAACATATTATCACAATCCTTGCTCTTGTATGATTAGATCTGTATCATTGGAGACGCCTGGAGAGCTATCAAATCTCAGAGTAATTTGTCAGATTGTAGCTTGTTGTGTAAGAGACATATGAAGTTTTTGCGTGGGACTATTGAATCTATGCCAGTGTCTCCGGCTAATATGCTTAAGAACAACTTACATTTAGGTTGTAACATTTTCAGGGGCTTTTCCATAAGTTCATGTCTTACATGATGGTCCACGTGAAACTAACACCATCCTGTCGACATCTTACAACACTGAACCGTAGATGTAATAATTGATGTTGCATAGAATATGTTATTGGGGACCTAAATGCTGCCTATTTCACTTTCTTTGCAGAGGAACAATCGAGGGAGATGTACTGATAATTTCTTCTAACAATTTGCAAGTGCAAAATGTGGTGAAAAAGGCTCATCTTGGTCTTGTGACAACATTGAAGTTCTCGGAAGATTCGAGGTCCTAAATGTTTTTCATGTTCCTGTTAAAGCTATAAAAGCCTGCACTCAACACAAACAATTCTAAATTTTCTGCTTTCTTCAGGGCTTTGCTTTCTGCCTCCATGGATTCAAGAGTGAGAGTGACAATTATAAAGGAAGAGAAGAAAAGTGGTGAGTATTTAATTTCCATATCAGTATCAGGAACATGATGGTAGAGACTGCTTTTTTTCTGTGGGGTGGTTGCTAGCAGGTAGCTGGCGAGTTCTGAAAATGAGCTAACAAGTTTCTAAGCTTCTGCTATTGATCTTGATTAGTTTAGTTTTAACTTGATCTTCATCTAAGAAAGAAGTTGATATTACCGATAACATGAAACTAGTAGAAAACAACTGCATATGTGTGTGTGAGTTTTATTCTTTATTAGCTTTTGAGTGATTTAATCTGTAAGAAAATTTGTCCAACTGGCTGATAACGATTATACTGCAAACAGATCTCTCTTTCTAGTATCAAGTCCCATGCTTTCTGCATGCATAATTGACTTTTGTTGTGGAAATTTTGTCATTAAAAATATTGTTTACATTTGCAGGTCTGAGCTTGTGGATCGTTATACTCGTCATTCTGATTGCAATAGCTGTATTTTACGCAGCAAACAATGGGATTATTCCATTGGAGCTAAACTCTACACTTAAATGACGAGCTTTACCCAGAAGTATTGTTAGAATGGTTATGTTTATAGGTGGAACAATATCTGTGGCATTTTTGAAGGCTGGACAGTGGCTTTGGATTCTAGCTTAAGTTAAAAGATATCTGGTGTTTTGGGTGTGCTTCAAGTGTTAAGACAGTTCATTTCTCCATTAGATTCTCACTGTACAAAACAAGTTGTTGACTAGGTCTATCTCTTCCATTTCAACTTTATTTGGTAGATCTTTCTCAAAATAAATTGGAGGTTTTCCACCTGCTCCTTTACGTTCAGTTCATATGAGAGGGGATTTCGAGATCAAACCCCAGAAAACTAAAAATAAAATTCTGGAAAAGGAAAGGGAAGTTTGATCCGAGGGATTCTTATTACGTTTACAGTGGGAAATAGCACAAATTTTTTTCCAAAACAATATTTGTGGTTACTTGAAAATATTTGCAGAGACAGATTTCCTTGTACATTAATTCTTTCAAAATTCGAACTTGAAACACTATTTTCCACAAACCAAAGTCAATGCAAAAAAAATAAATAAAAAATTCTGTTCTAGTGCCACCTTTCAATGAAAACCAGTAAAATAAAGAGAGAATATTCAGAAAAAGAAAACAAAATCAGTCGCCTTAGACGTGGGTCGAACGTTGTGGTTTTCATCCGTCCATTCCATCTTTTAATTCTATCTATAGCAAAGCTGACAATCCAACAACAAGACATACCTAGTCTGGGGATTGGAAAGGAAAATATGTCACATAGATGTTACTCCTACGTTGTGAAGGTAAAGAAACCGTTTTCAATAGACTCTCGGCTCAATAGAAGAATAATAGAGAAAAAACCATATTGAAAATAATACTAACAATAACAAAATAATAAGCAAATCTAAAACAAGAGAAACACTGTGAAGTAGTAGAATGACAAAAAAAAGGAAAAGTAAAAAGAGCTTTGTCATTACACAGTAAAAGGAAAAAGTCAAAACAAAATAAAACCTCAGACTAGTGACAAACACCAAATGCCATTATGCCACGTGTCTTTGCGAAACAGTACCAAGTCCAACATAAGAATAAGATTCTAGTAATCTTTCCCAAATTTAAGGTGTTTTGAGGTCCGTTGATGCTCTAACACGTGAACCACCCCTCTTAGCTTAACTCATCAACCCCAAAAGCAAAAAACTGATCATTCTATTCTTCCTATAAAATTTTGCGAATTAATTGTCGTTCAAACACACACACACACACACACACTGACATAGACATCCTTTTTTTATTACCAGCTTTTGTTGGTTTAGTATTTTTGTTGAGAGCTATAAAAAAGTAGTATTTGGTCCAAGTCAATTCTGCTGAAAACCTCTTCTCCTCTTTTGATCATCGGGAGAATTTTCTACAGACCTTTCAGCTCCGAAGAACAGGTACAAGAAGAGAACATAGGACTTCTTACTGTTTGACTTTCCATCTCTTTGTGCCTGTTTTTGGTTACTCTTTCTGAAAATTTAATTTAATGTTTGTTTTGTGTTTGAGAATTCTCTTGACATTCCAGAGCTTATGCTCTTCTGTTGTTTCTCTTTTTTGCTAGTTAATTTTCTTTAACCAAATTTTGAGGGGTTGTGCAAATTGGGTAGAAGGGAGGGTCTGAGAATACTGTTCGCCTTTTTTATTTTTATTTATTTTTAATTCTGAAGTTTATGTAGTATTAGGTACTATTCTGAAGAATCTGAACATATGTATTAACTATTCAGCATCTAATTAGGAATAGAAGAATTATACCCGTTTGTTCCATTTTATGTAGCATATTTTCCTTTTTAGTCTGTCCGAAAGAGAATGACACTTAGAAACAATTTAATCTTAAACTTCTCATTTTACTTTAATGAGATAGATTTATAGCCACGTAAATATGTATCGCTTGTTTTACACTACAAGTCTCAATAGTTTTTCTTTCTTAAATTTTTGTCCAGTCAAACACCGTCACATGGGACGGGGGAGTAGTAGGTAATATGCTTCTTGTTTGGACACGTCTATGTTTGTCAAGTAAGTCAATCATCTTATCAACCATGCTCTAGACTAGTTGGGGTCGGCTATCATTGTCAATTCAGTGATCAATGATAATTACCCCAAAATTTATCCCCAAAAAAAGAACATAAAATATTTAAAGCAAAGATCTGCATGTCCAATGCGGCTTGCTGGAATCAATGTCTAATTGCTGGTTGGTTTGATGCTATACTTGCATTACGATAGGTCTTTACATGAGTTTTGTAATCCCTAACTTACCTTTTAAAAAAACAGATTATTTAGTATTATAATGAATGAAACTCGAGCAAAGCGAAATGGATATAAAGAATCAATAGCCAAGCGCTTTAGTTTGTGATTTAGGTTTAGTCGATCATTATACCTATTATTAATTCCCATAGCTTTTCTGCTTGTTGTCCGCTTGAGTTCAGTATGCGATATTATCATTTTCCAGTAAAAAATGTTATCTGTCTTTGCATGCTATTAATTTCTACATGTCAGTGGTTCATCGTGCTCGAGAAAAAATTGATGTTCGATGTGTTCTAAATAGACAGTGGGGACACACTTGTTTTGGGAATATCGGATCCATATGTTGCATATGCCCGTATACTTGTACTTTATTCCCCTGCCTAAAATGTAGATACTTTGGTGTATTTGCTTCAAATAATTTTTCAGCTTGAATGGGTACACATAAGGAAGATGTGACAGATGAAGTTTCCTCTGAAAAATTACAGCAGAAACAGGACCTTGACACTGTTACTTACAGATCAGAGTTGAAAGAGAAAGGAATCTGTGAGTCAATGTCAGCTGAAGTTATTTCTGGTGAACTACAGAAGAGGGTGAGCCCCGATGCTTTGGAAAAGTCATCACAAAGTAATCAAGATGAAAATGCACTTTCTACGACATGCCAAGAAGTATCGGGTGAAGTCAAGCCAAAGAAGAGTGTCATTGAAGGGATTGAAAAATTTCAGCAGAAACCGGACCCTGACACTGTCACCAACAGATCAGAGTCAAAAGAGAAAGGAACCTGTGATTCAGTTTCAGCTAAAGTTGTTTCTGATGAACTACTTAAGGGACTGAGCCCCGATTCTTTGGCAAAGGCATCAGAATCTAGTCGAGTTTCTGTTCTACCAAAGAAGGAACCATACATAAAATCTTGTGAATCAGATCCTCCTGTAAAAGACAGAAACGTTTCCTTAGTACCTGGGAAAGCTTCAGATTCTTCACAAAATATACAACGTGAGAAAATGGAAGTTGTTGTATCTCAACCTAATCAAGAACAAGTAACTTATTCCACAAGGCCTGAAAAAGCTTTGGATAAGTTGCAACCAAGGCGGAACCTTGATATGAATGTCCAGGCTTTGCCATCTGATCAAGAAATCATTCCTTTCAGATCACCTGAAAAACCATCTGAAGATGGATATAACTGGCGAAAATATGGTCAGAAACTTGTTAGAGGAAATGAGTTTACTCGGAGTTATTACAAATGCACGTCTCCTAATTGTCTTGCAAAAAAGCAAGTGGAGAGATCACATGATGGGCATATTACCAATATCCACTATATCGCAAAGCATGAACATCCAAAACCTTTAAATAGTCCCCAAATCTCCCCCGAGTTTGTAGTGCCTATGCAAATGAAACAAACAGACATGCCAATGGGAACACCACGAGAAGGTACTTAAGATAGCTGAGTCAATTGTTTTATTCGATCTAGATAAGTATATAATTTTAATGAGTTACCTAATTAGCTGAAGGTAAGAAATCTATTGTAATTGGTCAAACATGTCAATCTATCGAACCATCGGAGAGCTCGCTTTCAACGGCTATTGTACCAGCTGGTGATAGCGCAACAGATACAGTTATGAAGCCACACAAATCAGGAGATGAGGCTGATAATAGTGGTGGTCCGGACCCAAAGAGACAGTATGTGATAGCCAAAACCTTATTTATTTGTCTTCAGTTTTCAGGTCTAGACACTCTCTTAGAGTTGATAGTTGTGCAATTGTTTTGCAACAGGAAGAGAGAAGTACCTAGAAGTGATGAGATTCCACCTATTAAGTCTCATAGTGAACCACAACATATTGTTCAAACAAGGAGTGAAGTGGATATAGTCAATGATGGTTATCGGTGGCGCAAATATGGGCAAAAACTGGTAAAAGGAAATCCAAATCCTAGGTAAGTATTTCCTTTGCTTTAAAAACATGTTTGTAAATCTTTGCCCATGCAAAATAGCTTTTTCTTATCTTAACCTTGAGTTGCTTTCTTGTTATGATTGTTTACAAAGCATTCCTATTCTTCCACTGTAAACCGTGAAAGGAACGGAAGCAATGAATGTCGCCTATCAGAATAATTGCTGTCTTCATCTCATGTTGAATGTCCACCTTTCTTTTTTAAGTTGTCCTAAATTAGTCCGAAAATGGCATAACTCATTAACTCTTGCTTGCACGGGTCCCTTTCACTCTTCTGGATACAACTTCAAAAATACTAAGCCCTCCTATATGGCCTTACTCTTACATGATCCTCCTCATCCGATGTGGCTTGCCATTTCTCTATGTTCACCTTCTTTAACCCTACCTTGTAAGGCCATATGTTCTATCGTTCGGCCCATTAGTAGCCTGCTTGACTATTTCTTTTTCAGTCTATCAATACCAGTGGATCCAATCTGCTCTCTCTTGTCAGTAATACTATTTCTTGTTGTCGTTAACCTTTCAAAACCCAATGCTGTACTGTGACATTCTTGTGTATCTTTATACATATGACACACCCCAAAATCTGTTAAAGAACCACATTGCATTTTCTTGCTAAAAATAATACTATTCTAATCTGGACCAAGTAATTAGCAGTCTTTGAAAATGTATTCCATAAATACAATATCCATAGGTTGACTCATGCTCTTTTGCTTCTACAGAACCATATGGAACTGTACGTTCATCTAAATTTGTTTGTTTATTGACTAAAAGCAACTGTATCTCATTTACAGAAAAAACGACTTGAGCTATTATTCTTCTATTTCTGTAAAAAATTTAATACAGATATTATTGCGGAGTTTGGTCAAGAAAAGTATATACGATCAACTATGTATCAATTACAAACTAGTTGGGATTGGTTATATGTATTTTCTGTATCCATAACGCTCCATTTGGGCTAGTACTAAACAATTTGTCTACTCTTTCCTTGTTGGTTCGTTTTGATTGCTTACTCACTTGATGTTGACTAGTTTTACAAGTTGAACTTCTCATCTTCCGATAACATGTCCCCTTCCTGTCAAAAGTGATGTTTATTTCTGAAAGTGAGATTGGAGGATATAAATAGTCACTTTACGATCATATCTTGCGAGGTAATCCAAGTATGAAACATTAGACCTAGTTAATCCGATTAAGAGAGAAAAAGGAAAACACTAATATATAGCTGATATGGTCAGTTTTATGTTTCTCTTGCCCCCCGACTCTATTTTTCAACGAGCATGTTTGTTGGTTCTTGATAAAAGAAATTAAGGGAAATAACTGGGAAGATGACAAGAAAATAAAAAAATATACTGGAATAGATGTAAAAGGAACTGAAGCTGAAAATACTATTTTATTTTACTGCATTTGGACTACAATTTATAAGAGAAATACTAACTTAAAAGACCTAAAAATCAGCATAAAATATGCTGAAAATAACTAACTCCTAGAGACTAGTTCACTCCTAAAGACTAGTTCAAAATTATTTCAAATTTCAAACTAAATTGCTGCAGTAAATAGCTGAAACAGTAAAATAATTTTACTGAGAGCAGCTTCTAAAGCATATTTCTAAGACTCCTCCTTGCTTTTGAAGCTGCAAATTCTGAATTTGTCCGTTGTAAACCTTTAACTGGAAGCGACTTTGTACGTAAATCTGCCAACTGATCTTTGGACTTGCAGTGAATCGAGTTCACTTCTGTATTTTGCTGCATCTCATGATTGTTAATGAAATAACTTGGCTCGTTTTTCATCTTCATTTACATCTTGCCTTGAGACTTGTCAACTTTCTTCCAGAATTGCATTTTTTGAAATATTGACAACTTCTTCCTTACCTTATTTTCACATATGTCCTCAGTTGGAGAATTACCTGCACTTAGTAGATTCTTTTGGCTCCATTCTTCATCTTCGGTTGGATCAAATGAGAAATTTTTACCTCTCATTTTAACCCTTAAAATCTCAAGTCCAGTTGCATCATAAATGAAACAATATTTATCTTCAAAGGATACTTTAAATCCTTTTTCCATTAGTTGTCCAACATTTAATAAATTTTGATCAATATCAGGAACATAAAGAACATCTGAAATTTTCTTAGTACCTGAATTTGTTGGGATTGCAACAGTTCCTTTTCCTTTAGCAAGAATATAATCACCATTTCCAATTCTGACTTTCTTATTTCCTATAGACGTGAACTCTTTGAAAAGATTTATATCATATGTCATGTGGTTTGTACAACCACTGTCAATCAACCAAAAATCAGATTTTTTTTGGTTGAAAGAATAGTTGCCACAAACAAGTGATCTTCTTCTTCTTCATTGGCGACTTGGGCATCTGTTTCATGCTTTTGATATTTGCCTTTGCAAATTACAGCTTCATGACCAAGTTGGTTGCAAAGTTTGCACTTTGCATCTGGCCTCTTCCAACATTTGAATGGTGGATGACCTTTTTTGCCACAGTGCTGACAAGGCGGGTAATCTTTTTTAACATTATTACCCTTGCTTTGAGTTTTGTGGTTGGCTGCCAGGGCTCCTTCAACCATACCATCTTGCCTCATAAGCCTCCTTTGCTCTTGTGCCTGCAATGTATTTAACAATTCTGCCAAGGTAATCTTGGATAGATCCTTTGTATTTTCCAAGGTAGTTATGGATACTTCATATTTTTCAGGCACCGTAACAAGAATTTTTTCAACAATTCTTGAATCTTTAAATTTAGTACCAAGCAATCTTACCTTGTTAACAATGCCAAGCAACCGATCTGAGTATTCTTTGACAGTCTCGGATTCCTTCATTTTCTGCAACTCGAATTCCCTTATTAAATTCAACACCTTCATGCCTCGTATTCTTTCATCTCCTGTATATTCTCCCTTCAGATAATCCCAGATTTCTTTTGCTGATTTGAGAGTCATAACTCTCGTGAAAATTGTTGCAGACACACCAGCAAACAAAAGTTGCTTTCGCCTTTGATTTCCTGGTTTTCTTTTCCTTGTGACTCTTGATCTGGGCCACCGTGGGGAGTGTTAGGCAGCGGAAGAACATCATAATCCTCTTCCACGGCCTCCCAAAGATCTAAAGCCTCCAAGTAAGTCTCCATTCTCACTGCCCACAATTGGTAATTTTCACCATCAAAGACTGGAGGAGCCAATTGAGAAAAACTCATTTCAGTCTCCATCTCACTCAAGAAAAGATTTTACTTAGGTCCCTGAAGAAGATGGCTCTTGATACCAATTGTTGGTTCTTGATAAAAGAAATTAAGGGAAATAACTGGGAAGATGATAAGAAAATAAAAAAATATACTGGAATAGATGTAAAAGGAACTGAAGCTGAAAATACTATTTTATTTTACTGCATTTGGACTACAATTTATAAGAGAAATACTAACTTTAAAGACCTAAAAATCAGCACAAAATATGCTGAAAATAACTAACTCCTAGAGACTAGTTCACTCCTAAAGACTAGCTCAAAATTATTTCAAATTCAAACTAAATTACTGTAGTAAATAGCTGAAACAGTAAAATAATTTTACTGAGAGCAACTTCTAAAGCATATTTGTTTCAGATCATACTTCTCGTCTTTGATAATGTTCAAGTTTTTGTATGATTTTCTCGCTCTTGCCTTCCACCGCCAACCTCTCTCTCTCTACGCAGCTCAAACATCTAGTTAAATGTGCAATGCTTTTGCACTCTCTCTATAAATCTAGCTTCCGTTATATGTAGGAGTTACTACAGATGCTCAAGTGCTGGTTGCCCTGCAAAGAAGCATGTGGAGAGGGCATCCCATGATCCAAAATTAGTCGTTACAGCGTATGAAGGGCAGCATGACCATGATATTCCGCCTTCTAGGACTGTTATGCAAAATGCAGCAGGTGCTGATTCTAATAATACAACCAGAATAAGTGGAGAGTCCACACCTGAATCAGGCGAAAACAAACATGTTGGCCTTGATAGGGTTGTTCATATCGGCGCAAATTAAGCACAATGTACACAATTCCGATCAATCAACTGATCCAGATTTAGATAATCCTACTTCATTAAGTCTTCTAATCTTATCTCTTCCTTACTTCAAACTGTAATTGGTCAATTATCCTCCATTTCAGGAGAGAAGCAAGGATTGAATATATGTATAGGAACCTCTGATTTAACCTCATAATTGGTGTGAATTCCTAAATTTACTGTATAAGTTATGTTGTCGAACAAAGGAAAACAGAGTATAGATTTGATCATATGTATCTAATTGTTGCCAGTTGATCAGGCTATTTTATCTCCTTAAACAAGTTTTTATACATAAATAAGATGATTTAACTGTGGTTGCAAAATTGGGAAAATGACACTGTATACCCGCTCTCAAAATAATAGCCGGAAAAATGTATATTTTTTGTATATATATATATATATTTTGTATGTTATATACAAATTGTATACACTTTTTCGGCTATCGAATATAAATAATTCTTGGCGTGGGCTAAAAGTGATAATACCCCTGCAAAATTCTTGCAATAATAGCTGGTTGCTTGCTCCTAGTTTATCAATTCTTATACACATAAGTTGGTAAAAATTCCCTTTCTCCTCCTCCATCTCCTCCTTCGTTTTCTTCTTCTGCTGCTGCTGTTGGTGCTACTATGAAACTTCAGTTCATTGGGATGATTGCCATAAGTATGTTTATCCTTGAAGTGTTTTGGATCAACACCACCAAAAACAAGTTCACCTCCCTCTTTTGCATTTATATCGCGATTAAGCCAGAAAGAGAACACAGGCTCCTTTACGAGATCTTGCTTCACCATATTATACCTGCACATATATCATGAATCAAACAGATAAGAATCCAAAAACTGAGAAGAAAGGAAAACAAGATAGAATTGTTAAAAAACTGAACTGAACAAATGAATTGCAGGCCTTATTACTAGACAGGTGTAGTGTTTCCAACATCAATTTCCTTGAAACCAAGCCCAAGTATTCCATCAAACTTTGCAACTATAAATGTAATACTTGGTTCCCGTGTTCATCACAAACATAACAAAGCTTCAGCTAAAACATGCTGAAGTTCAGCAAATATAGAACAAAACTTCAGCTAAAACATGCTGAAGTTCAGCAAACAGAGAACAAAACTTCAGCTACTAGAATGCTTAAGTTCAGCAATTACAAACAAAAACTTCAGCAAATAGAGAACAAAACTTCAGCTACTAGAATGCTTAATCAGCAATTACAAACAAAAACTTCAGCACACTTGGTTCAGCAATTTTTGCTACTTCAGGCCCGTCTACTAGAATGCTGAAGTTTGCGTGATTGCCTTTGCATACTTCAGGCCCGTATGCCTGGAAGTTACACGAAAAGTGGGTACGCTTGCAATTTTTTTTGCAAAACGGGTATAAGTTAAAACGTGACCCAAAAAGCAGGTATAGATGCAAATGCCCCATAAGTTGGTGTTTTTTAACAATAGAGATGTACCAATTATAGATAGCTGTCTTTAAATCAAACTCCCTCTGACCAAAATAAATGCCTCTCTCCCTTTAGTTCTGTAATACAAATAAACTTGATCCTTTCATGTGGAGACTTATTTCCCTCAACCAATTTATAAACTTATTTTTTCAAATGCGATAATTTTACATACTATTTTAATATTTTACAATTCAAAATGTTATTTTTTCTAGTACGCTATAAATCCTATTCTATGTTTACAATCACGTGCATACTTAGCAGTTTTTGATCATAGACTTAAGTTTGAAATGTGTAAATACAGAAAATTGCCATTAAATCATACTCCCTCTGTCCAAATAAATCTAATTTCCTTTTCCTTTTTAGACCCGGCTTTAAAAAATTATCCTTTTCATTTGGGGGAGCTCTATTTCCTTTAAACAATTTCAATCTAACTTAAGTTAATACTAATATTACTTCAAATGTGACTAATAATTTACCAAATTTTTAACTTTTTCTGTACTTCAAGTTCAAATAATTCTATTAATTCAAGAAATAATTTATATCCTAAGTCTAGTTTACTGGAAAGAAGAGTATAACTGACTTTTAAATAATTTAGACGGGTAAATTTTGAATCGTACTCCATTCAAGTAAATCTTTCTTTCTTTCCTTATGACTGTCTAAAAAAACGTGACCATTTTCATTGGGTAAGCGTTATTTACCTAAAAAAACAAAGTAACATATATTGTTTCAGACTTGATGATAGATATTTTACCAAATATTTTGTTTTTGCACTTCAAATTAGAATTTTTAGGTACTTTACTAATTCAACAAATTTTATTCTCATAAGTATTAACCTATGTTTAAGGAATCACGCGTAAAGTAT